CCAAACGGGGGGCCAGAGTGGGAGGCTGGTGTACAACTCTCTGGGAGCCTGTCAAAATTGCTGCTTGTGTTGTTGGGAGGGACCTTGACCAACCCCACGGGGGTTGTCCCCTCTCAAGCGGCACCTACGGCCCCTTGAGGCCAAGGAGCCCGCAGCCGCCCCCGTGCTCCCACCGGAAGCACGAGGATGGCGTCTCCAGTGTTCTTCACAGAGGATCTGGGACTGCGGTCTCCCCTGCTGTCTATATGGCAGCTGACGACACTGAGGAGCAGGCGTGTGGATCCCCAAGGACCAAAGGGTAGACCTCGTGTCCTTGAGCGTATGGAGCCTCGAGTCCATATGCTCCGAGAATAACGCCTTGCCATCAAAAGGCAGATCTTGGATAGTAGACTGGACATCAGGAGGTATTCCAGACACTTGCAGCCAGGCACCACGGCGCATGACCACACCTGACGCCATGGTGCGGGCTGCAGAGTCAACCGCGTCCAGGGAAGCCTGGAGGTCTGTACGGGCGATGGCCTTACCCTCAGAGGTCATGTCCACAAACTCCTGACGGGACTCGGCAGGGAGCTTATCCTTGAACTTATCCATGGCCTGCCAGGTATTAAAAGCATAACGACTTAGCATCGCTTGCTGATTAGCGATGCGGAGTTGCACCCCAAAGGCGCTTAGCTTCCCTAGCTTTCGGGGACGGCCCCGGCTGGGGGAGCTTTTCCCTCTGGGCTGCTGCCTGGATGACCAAGGACCCCGGGACAGGCTGGGAGTACAAGTGCTCGTGCCCCAACTGGGGAACATAGTAGCGCCTCTCGACACCCTTTAAGGTAGGGGTCAGGGTTGCCGGTGTTTGCCACAGGGAATTGGTAATTTTTGACGTTTTATTAAGTGGCAATGCCAAATGGATGGGCACGTCATCTGAAAGAATATCGATCATCGGGTCTGTGTCCTCCACGACTGACTCCACCGGGACACCCAGGTTGGAAGCCAGACGCTGGAGCAGGTCCTGG